GATGATGGCCTGGCCAACGTCGTTCTCAAAGAATTATGGTCCGATGACGACGCCAGCCGAAAATTTACTCCAAACAGTGACTTTTTCGGAATGCATTGGACGCTCTTGGATCTCATGTGGATGTGGATTCGACAATTTTGTTTGTTCACGTACGCATTCATCCAGAAGTAGGACTCATCGCTGCTGAAGATGATTTTTCGAAAATCAGGGTCAGTTGCCAACTGCTCCGACCACATTCAGCGAACACAAGTCGTTGTCTATCGTTGTTCACCTTCATTTCCTTAGTCAGTTGAATTTTGTACTGGGGTAGGCCCAAGTCACGACGCAAAATTTGACAAGTTGTGATTTACGAAAGGCCGAGTTCTTGTGAGCGACGCGAAATCGACTGCCTCGGTTTCTCCTGCACACTCTCACAGATAGCGGCGATGTTTTCGGCAGATCTTGCGTTTCGTCGACGTACGGGTTGGTCGATCGATTACTGAACCAGTGGACACAAATTTATCTACCACATTGCGGTAGGTGACCGCGATTAAGGTGACCGTAAAATGGACGAAACGCGCGATACATTGTCCGAACATAACACCCATTTTGATAAAATAATTTTATCATTTGCACTTGTTGTTGAATGCTATATCCGTCATGGCAAAACAGACTGAATAAATGACAACTGATTTGACAGGTATAGCTTCAACAAGATGGCCGTTCTCAATTGTCAAAGTTTGGAATTCCCTGTTGGAAGACCCTATATATTTATTTTTACGATAGCCTTCGTGTAAACTATTTTACCGAATTGCCTTTTCATCACCAATGTCCAGTTGAAATGTTTTTATGTTTTGGTACCCAAGTGCTAAAAGAAGTTAGTTTTGGCATTTACCGTCCACTTAACAAATTTCACTTTCTGTACGGAAAATTATGAGAAGTTTTAAAACTAGCCTGCATATTCCTCATTAGAATTACAAATACCACGGTTCACGGTGGCATGAGCATATTACTATGCGCCCGCTTTAGTAAACAATAAACTTGAATCGGCGGACCCAGTACCTGAACTATAAATTACTTATAGAATGAGAAACAATCAGTCTTTCATTATTTTGCGAAATGCATTCGATTAGATGATTGACATATATGTCAAGGTAAATTTGAGGTGAAGGTAGAGTGCGTGGAGTAGACTAATTCGACTGATCCTATAAGTGGATATACCAGATAACAAAGACATTTCTATAGGTTTGCCATTTTGTCTAGTCTCTGGAAATGTTATTTGAATATACAGTGGAAATGAAACAAGGCCGATTTTTTATAGTTGGCCTTCACAGAAAAACTTCCTAACCCGTCGAGTATTTTTTGCGTCTAAACACTGTCTTTGTCAGTTCTGCGAACTGATAGTCCAGTCATTTTAGGATTTATCTGCGAAAAAATTCCTAGTGAGCTGAATTTTCGTATACACCTTCATCACGGCGTTGTAATAAAGATGTGAAAAATCGACATTGATATCGTACCGGTTAAAAGACTTGTAAAGTTCAAAAGGTCACGAAAATCAGTTTTTCGCAAATATCTCGAGACCTTTTGCTCGGAGGTCAATAGAGTTTATTATAAAAATTGTTCGTTGTGAAATTATCTACGAAAAATTTCCCCTGCAAGTACAACGCTAAGAAAGCAGCTACATTATGATGATGCACTCGTTTCTTCACCACCTTCGAGGTAGAATGCAAAACGCGTTTTTTTTACATGGTTTTTCCCGTAGGCATAACCTATATACATAATATGTACAAAAAGTAATTTTTTATTCAAAAGTGAATAATTTTTTATTTGAATGCTGAAAAATACCGAAAAAATTAACTTCAGTATATAATTTTTTTTTGTCATTCATTGTCGATATCTTCAATTTCTATATCATTAGCACTTGCTGACAAAACGTCGAGTGGACTCATTCCTATATTTAAATTGACATCTTCATCATTTTCATCATTGGTTGACTTTGTGTTCAGTAGGTCATCGGGTGATGGTGGTGATAAAGTTGTTATTGGCTGTAGTATATTATTTTTCTATTATATAATATGCTGTTGAACTGCTGAAGAAGTAGGTGGTAATAATGAAAATTTCACAGCTCTGCTTTGTCTTGTTAGTTGAGCAAAGCTACAGTATCTGTAATTATCTATCGAATGTTCTGATTTTGGAGCAGCGTCCGTTGCTATTATAAAATGTATTCCAGCATCTACAGTGACATCTTCATGACTTTCATTGAGGGTATCAGTCGAGTATATTTTTGTTTGTAACATTGTTTTTTCCTTGTTTGAAAAATATGTAGGTTGATTGAGTATTTCTGTGCGTGCTTTGAGAAGTACCAACAGATCATTGCCTTCGCCAACGATAATTGTAGTATTATTTACTGATTTTTCAATGGTTGTTTCAACTATCAAGACGTCAGCATCATCACGTGTTTGTCTTGTAACAATATCAACTTCTTCGAACTTTTCAATAAGCATTTCAATAAATTTTGTTTTGTTAAATCGATTAGATAAGAATTTTTCTTGACTTTCGTCGATTCATCGAAATGCACTTTACAACAGTATTTGTACCGAAATTATTTGATAAATATCTAATAAATTTGTTAGTGACGTCTAAATTGGTAGTAGATTACCAAAAACGACTCTCCGCGATAGGAAGACTTAATAGATTGTCTCTGGTCTGGATTCCTGGCCATATTGGCCTGGAAGGCAATGAGGCTGCTGACTCCTTTGCAAAGGAGGGTGCTGCAAATAGCTTCATCAGACCAGAACCTGTCATTGGTCACGCTTCAGGCTTTGCCAAACAAAGTTTGAACACCTGGATGGCAAGAAGGTTCATGGACTTCTGGCAGCATCTTCCAGGATTGGCTCACTCTAAGGCGTTTATTCACCCTTCGAAGTTTGATACCAAACAGTTGTTGGACTACAGTACGGATGAACTACGATGTCTAACAGGCCTTCTTACAGGTCACTGGCATTTGAATTATCATATGCAGAGACTCGGACTGTCGGAAGACAGTGTGTGTCGGCTCTGTTTGGAAAATGATTAAACAGCAGAGCACATATTTAGTGACTACCCCGCTGGGGACCGAATCAGGTTTTTAGAGTTAGGCAGAGCTGTACTCTTACCAGCTGACCTGAAAAACCACTCACCATACAAACTAATCGGCTTGGTTAAGAAGCTGGGTTTATTTGGTCAAGTGTGAATTGGTGTGAGCCACAATAAACTCTTGCGGGTAGCGGTGGAGGGTCGAATAGACCCACTCATTTTGAATCTAACCTGACCTAACCTAACCTAGTGATAAATGCATCATTTTTTTGTCATACGACACGTTGCATAAGAAATCCACCATCAATTATGTATGTTGCATTATCACAAACTACTTGATAATTAATTGGCTCGAAGTAGTCGTATATTCTCTCATACCAACATTATCAAATAGTGCTGTTGGATACGGACTTGATTCATATTATAAACATTCACAAAAATTTTCCTCAATGCCCAGGTATCAGATAAAAGTTTTTAAGATACTCAAACACATGAATGAAAAGCAATAGAATTTACGCCTTGGTGCACGGTATACAATAGTGAATGCATTCTAGTCGCTATCTCAGCGCTCTACTTCCAAAACGGTTGATTTTACACAAAAATGAAGAAGAAGAAGCACAATCTAAGTATATGAAAAATGCACAAAATCAGATTGGGATGAACGACCTTATTGAATGAAGAGCTTAGTAGATGAATTTGTCAGGTGACTTTTTTGAAAATAGGATATTGGATGAAATTTATATACAGGGTGTCCCTGGACTTCCTCTTTTCCTCTCGGGAATGTATAGATGGGGTCAAAATATCACCAGTACTTCATATAACTTTTTTTCCTAAAAGTCTTCGTAACCAAGTTACGGGCCCTCGAAGTTACAAAATGAAAAATGTTTTTCTTTGATAACTTTTCAAGTGAATATTCAAAATCATCCAAATTTTGGTAATTGACTAAACAAATGAATTCCTTCGATGAGCTTTCATG